GGTAAATTTAAGAGTTTTTTTATGGTAGCCTCTGTTAATGCACTAGCTTCAACCCACAGGAGATACAAGCTGAACTCTATCTTGACCACATTTAGTTGAAAATTGCCTTTGCAAAAGTCCTCCATCCCAAAGCAACATTTTTTTTTTTAAGGTAAAGGTCAGTTTTGTGACTTGGTTGGAGTAGGCTTACCACATTTTCTCACCAGGTACATTGAGAGAGCTTTGAGAAGATACATCCAAAGACCTGGCTTTAGTAGTTAATTCCCAGCAGACAAAAATGTTATTATCTATATAATAAAACAAGATCCCCAACTTAAAAGAGCCCACACAAACCAAAAGAACATTCTACTTATATTTCTAGGCAATGGATGTTATCAAGTAATTTTGCCAAATCAATAAAAACTACTGCAATATCTCCTTTACCAATTTAATCAAATTCATATACTCAGAATAACAAACAAGGCAGTCTCTCGAGGTTGAGAACTCATGAAGTCTCAGTTCATAGCTCATGGCTTTTTGAATTTGGCATCTAGGAACATGCAAAGTCCAATAAAAGCTTTTTCAAGGTCTGAAGAACTCACAAGAGTTCTGTCCACCATGTTTTTTCTGATAGCTGGTAGAAGTCTTTCTCCTAGTATGTCTCCTTGTCTCCACCTAGCCACTAACATTCATGGAACCTATAAAAACTCATTTAGAGACCTTTATCTCCTTGTTGTATTTGGTTGAACTGGGTTTTGGCTGAAGGCTGCCAAGTTTCTTAGGGACAGAGGGATAGGGTGGCACACAGAGAGACATACACACATCCAGAGTAAGCACAAACACGTGATTCTGTTATATTATAGCTGCATAAATCAGAATATAATACTAAAATCAATTGAGCTGTATATATTTAAGAAAATGGACAATTAATATGGAGATAAGCTCTCCCATTCCCTACCATTTTGTTTTATATTTCAAAAAAAGGTGGCAGGATCAATAGCCCAACTGATGTGCATCCACACCAATGCACACAGCATGGGCACCAAACAGGAGGCACTGGAAGCCACTGTGCAGCTGGAAAACTATGATATAGTTGCAATCATGGAAACACGGTGGGATGACTCACACAACTGGAGTGCTGCAATGGATGGCTATGAAGTCTTCTTAACGGTTAGGCAAGAAGAGGTGGTGGGTTAGCCCTGTATGTTAGGGAGTGTTTTGACTGTCTACAGCTTGACAATTGTGGTGAAAGGGTTGAGTGTTTATGGGAATGAATCAGGGGAAAGGCCAGCAAGGCAGATATCACAGTGGGATTCTCTCACAGACCATCCAACCAGGATAAAAAGGCAGATGAAATATTCTATATTCTATGAGGAGCTGGGAGCAGTCTCACAATTGCTAGCCCTTGTTCTCATGGAGGACTTCAATTTACCAGATGTCTGCTGGAAATACAATACAGCAGAGAGGAAACAATCTAGGAGGTTCTTGGAGTGAGTGGAAGATAACTTCCTGACACAGCTGCTGAGGGAGACAACTGGGGAAGGCACCTCGCTGGGCCTGCTGTTTGTGAACAGAAAAGGACTTGGGGTGATGTGATGTTCTTGGGCGTAGCGATCATGAAATAATAGAGTTTTCAGTTTTCAGAGAAGTAAGTGGAATTGCTACCCTGGATTTCCAGAGGGTAGACTTAGGCCTATTTTGGAACCTGGTTGACAGAGTCCCTTGGGAGGCAGTCCTGAAGTGCAAAGGAGTCCAGGAAGGCTGGACATTCTTCAAGAAGAAAATCTTAAAGGCACAGGAGCAGGCTGTCCCTGTGTGCCAAAGTGGAGCTGTTGGAGAAGAACACCATCTTGGCTGAACAGAGAGCTTTGACTGGAACTCAGGAAAAAACAGAGTTTATGACCCTTGAAAGAAGGAGCAGGCCACTCAGAAGAACTACAAGGATGTCATGAGGTTATGTAGAGAAAAAATTAGAAGAGTCAAAACCCAGCTAGAACTTAATCTGGCTACTGCTGTAAAAGACAATAAAAAATATTTCTATAAATACATTAACCACAAAAGGAAGGAAAAAGAGAATCTTCATCCTTTACTGCAGGTGGGGGGAAACATAGTGACAAAGGCTGGGGAAAAGGCTGAGGTACTCAATGCCTTCTTTGCCTCAGTCTTTAATAGTAGGACCAGTTGTTCTTGGGGTAGCCAGAACACTGAGCTGATAGACAGGGACAGAGAGCAGAATGAAGCCTCCATAATCCAAGAGGAAAAGATTAGTGAGCTGCTACACCATTGAGACATACACAAGTCCATGGGGTCAAATGGGATCCACTCAAGGGTACTGAGGAAACTGGTGGAAGTGCTCACCAAACCACTTTATCAGCAGTCCTGGCAAACTGGCGAGGTCCCAGTTGACTAGAGGTTAACAAATGTGATGTCCATCTATCTGAAGGGCTGGAAGGAGGACCCAGGGAACTACAGGTCTGTCAGACTAAACTTGGTGCTGGGGAAGTTTATGGAGCAGATCTTCTCACAAGGACAACTAGGTGATCAGGCCCAGACAACATGGGTTTATGAAAGCCAGGTCCTGCTTTACTAACCTGATCTCCTATGACAAGGTGACCTGCTTAGTAGACAGGGGAAAGTCTGTGGATGTTGTTTACCTGGACTTTAGTAAAGCCTTTGACACCATTTCCCACAGCATTCTCCTGGAGAAACCATCAGCTCAGGACTTGGATAAGCGTAATCTTTGCTGGGTAAAAAACTGGCTGGATGGCCCAAAGATTTGTGGTGAATGGAGTTAAATCTAGCTGGCAGCTGGTCACAACTGTTATTCCCTAGGGCTCAGCATTGGGGCTACTCCTGTTTAACATCTTTATCAATGATCTAGAGGAGGGGATCAAGTACACCCTCAGTAAATTTGCAGAAGACACCAAGTTGAGCAGGAGTGTTGATCTACTTGAGGGTAGGAAGGCTCTACAGACGGATTTGGACAGGCTGGATCGATGGGCTGAGGCCAAGTGTATGAGGTTCAACAAGGCTCAGTGCCGGATCCTGCACTTGGGTCAGAAAAACCCCATGTAATACTACAGGGTTGGGGAAGAGTGGCTGGAAAGCTGCCCAGCAGAAAAGGATCTGGGGGTGTTGGTCATCAGACAGGTGGCCACAAAGGCCAATGGCATCCTAGTTTGTATCAGAAATAGTGTGGCCCGCAGGGACAGGGAAGTGATTGTCTCCTTGCACTTGGCACAGGTGAGGCCTCACCTTGAACACTGTGTTCAGTTTTGGGCCCCTCACTACAAGAAAGACATTAAGGTACTGGAGTGTGTCCAGAGAAGGGCAACAAAGCTGGTGAAGGGTCTGGAGCACATGTTTTATGAGGAGCAGCTGAAGGAACTGGGGTTGTTTAGTCTGGAGAAGAGGAGGCTGAGGGGAGACTTTATCACTCTCTACAAGTGCCTGAAAGGAGGTTACAGTGAGGTGGGTATTGGTCTCTTTTCCCAATTAACAAGTGATAGGACTAGAGGAAATGGCCTCAAGTTGTTGCAGGGGAGGATTAGATTGGATGTTAGGAAAAATTTCTTCACTGAAATGGTTATCAAGCATTGGAACAGGCTGCCCAGGGATGTGGTTGATTTCTCATCCCCAGAGGTATTTAAAAGACATGTAGATGTGGTGCTTAGGGACATGGTTTAGTGGTGAACTTGGAGTGTTAGGTTTACAGTTGTACACAATGATCTTAAAGGTCTTTTCCAACCTAAATGATTCTATGATTCTATATTGCCCATTTTGAATATTCTGCACAGAGCTCTTGATTAAGGCAAGCTGTTTGGACAGACAGAAGTGAAGAAGCAGAGGAAAAAGACTGGAGATTTTCTCACTTTTAATTTTAAAATCACAAAATTTTGTGTTTGTGTGATGCTACTAGGGAGAGAAGTTTCTGTATACAGTACACCAACTATTTTCAGCAGGAGACTTCTTTTTTTAAATCAGAAAACTAATGTGAAGACTGGAGTCAGTGTTGTAATTGATATGCAGAACTGGGATTTATTTCAGCTTTAATCACTTAGAAGTTACAACACTACTAGTTTAGTCATGTAGGTTTTCCTCATACCCAATGGAGAAAGATATACGGAAGGAATTAAACTCTGTGAATGACTGTCTCTTCATAGCCTGAGGATTATATGCATACATATCAAGCTTTTAGATGGACAAAGTTAGTTGGGAAGCAGCTCACTCTTACAGAGCAACCTACTGAATCTGTTAATACCAGGATGAATTTTCAGTATTCATATGATCCATAGATTTGTATCAGTAATAACATTAAACCCTTTATTACCTGGACAAAGCAAATAATGAAGTGATGAAGTCTGAGGATTGAAGTCTCAAAAAAACAGCAAAATGGCAAGCTTAGCTTCTTTTTATAATTGGCATTTGCACTAGATACAAAAGATGTTCTCCAGACGTCAGAAAGCCAGGATATCAAGTAATCACTGGGTATATACATAAGTGTATGTAAATGACAGGAAAGGTAGGAAGAAAAGGACAGAAATGGGACATATAGTTTGCTGCATGACTCTCTGTCTCCGATTTATTTAGGAGAATAATAATGGCTCAAATTCAGAGTTTGATGGAAAGGAAATAATGAAACCTTAAAAGAAAGTCTTAAAATTAAATACACGCTATCTACCAGATGCCTAGACATATATTTCATTCAAAGTATTTCTATAGATTGATACTATAAACTCATTTTCATATGATGTAACATCTGTGTTTATTTTACTGAGACTGCTGGAATTATAAAAATAATCCATCTAAATTTGTGTCATACAAACATTTTGGTAAAAGAAAAGTTGACATCTCAGAGAAAACCTGAAGATCTATCATTTTTATATGCAATGTATTTTCCATATGTATTTCTTACGAATTTCTTTTTTTTTGTTTTGTATTTTTACCTACTCTATCAGCTTCCAATGTAAGAAAGTTTTGGTGCAGAATACACTATACAGAAATACAGAAATCTGTCTTACCTTCTGGCTCCCTGATCTTACGTCCTGCTGCAGATTTTCGTAGCACGCTCCGTCCTGAGTTGAACAAGCTAGTTAACTCATCAAGGGGACTGGTCAACGACCTTGAGTTTGTAGGACTGTATGGAAATGAAGATGATGAATTTGAGTTCGATTTCCTGTGATCTGCTCTTGCCACCTTTGGGGAGTAAGGCAGTTTGGAGAATGGAGAAGATGAGCATCCAATTTGGGCAGGATTTGGTCTCTGAGGTACTTTTGACAGATCTGAGTTTGTACTTGTTTTCCCTGTATTAATCAGAAAACTAGCACAAGCCTCTGGAGGAAATGCAAAATGTGTAGAAGCCCGGTAGGAAATAGGAGGTGGTACTGGAGGAGGAGGTGGTGGGAGAGGAGGAGGTGGTGTGGAAGGAGGAGTCACTTTGCTGGAAACATTGAACACAACCAAGCCTGGAGATGCTGGTCTTTCATTCTCTCCTTTCTGGCTTTTGGAGTACTGTGGTGATAATGGACTCGAGCCTTCTGACTGCACAGGGTATTTTAGATTGGTTTCCAAGACAGGAAGCTTTTTGACTTCTAGTGGTGTTAGGGGAGATTCATCAGAAGCAGGTGAACATGTGACAGGGGTTGGAGGAAATACAAGAAGTGGTGGCCTGTGGGGGAGCAAGTTAGGGAAAGGGGCTGGAATGTCACATGGGTCTTTATAGATCAAAGCTGCATGACTGTTTCCATCCAATATTCCATCTTCAATGTTAACACTCTTTTTGTTTTCAAACAATAGAGGAGGAGATCCAGTCACTACTGGAATTATTCCATTACCATTGCTTCCTTCTTCTGGCAGAAAATACTTCATTTCTTCATATACAGACTCTCCTTGTTCTGGACTTTCTGCTTCAGCAGAATTGCTCTTCATTGCGTTCCCTACCATTTCAATATAGACAGGCTCATTTTCTTCTTCTTCTTGTGACATATAGAGATTCAACATGCCATGTTGTGGCCCATCAGAAGCAGCTGCTTTCTGAACTGTCACAGTGTCATAACCACCTGGTTTAGCTACTGTGCTTGCCTGTTTCACATCCCTGGGCTTTTGGCCAGGTATTTCTTCGTAAGAGCCACTAAGTTTCGTATTGGGACTTCGTTTTGGTTTTCTGGGAGGTATTTTCTTCATAGTACTATAATCATCACTGTGTGGCCTTGGACGGGTCAGTACTAGAAAAGTGAAAAAGGTCTGTGTTATTAATAGATCAGTTTTTTCTTACACAGGTCTAGTACTTTAAGCTGTCAAATATTGCCCTTAGAGTTTTACAATGAGCAGCAGTCACAAAGACAGGGATTCAGACAAAAGTATAAATATTTCAGGGAATGAAATACAGAACTTTCAGCTTCCAAACCACAAGCCTTTGCTACTTGGGCATATAATCTGTTTTGGTAATGTCTACTGCCATTAAAAGATGTGAACTAACACCTGAGGAGATATCTTTTGAATCCAAATGCTCACTGCAAGATCTGTAGCACATGGAAATATGTGCTTGTTATTCCATTGCCCCAAGGGAAAGGAGCATGCCTTTAACTAGGAGTTTCAGCATGGTGCTACTCTAATACACATTATTGCTAGTAACTGAAGTATCCCCCTTTTATGTAATATCTCTAAAACTCTAATTATAGACAGATATGTCTATGTCATCTGCTTTCGTACTGCAGGTGTGGAAATAATTTATAAAGTTAGGGAATCCCATAGCCTAAGGGAAATTAACTAAAAAAACCCCTAAACTAGATGTCTTTTCACAGCCTCCAGGCATGTATGGAGTGAAGAGACTAGATACCTTGGTAACTGGTCCTTTAAGATCAAATCTTTTTGGTGTAAATCAGCTGGTTTTGGACAAAGACTCAGGAAACGGATATAATTCTTGGAAAATTAGTACACTCCAAAGTTGTTGTGTGAGTGTATGCAAGCTCCTAAAACCATAGTAGTTTAAAAGTATTTTGGACACAGCTCATTTCTCTTTATACAGAGCCTGAATGAGCAAGGAAGAGGTTAAGAAAAATGAGTTTGCATGTAATGAACTGGACATGAGAATGGAACTTATTTTGCAAGAGGGAGCTGCAAATGTTTCCATCCATTGGCTGCAGGATCAGAGAATGGTTATACATAGCTTTAAATGCAACCTGAAGGATCTTCCCTGATAAACCTAGAGGATCCTTTACACAAAGCATGACAAGTCAGACTTATCAAGCAAAAGCAGAATACATTCCTTCCCTTCATCTTCTACTATTCATTTCAAGGGGGAAAGAGAATAGAACAATCGAACTCAAAACAATTCTATATGCACTGTAATGCATTGAGACACTTTGGGACTTTCATAGCACTTTCTTTCCAAAGAAAAAATTCACTGTAAGCAAGTTATGGCACAAACATAAACCACTGAATGCATAAGTTATTCATGTGAACATAGAGAAAAAGTAGGAGAAAGTTTAATGTTTGACTTGGTGAAATTCAGGATTGGAGCATTCTGTTTTAGTGATGCAAGATATTCTAACATGAAGTTTGAAAGGTCAAATATAATGGTCAGTGGGGTAGAATAGATCAAGTTGACAGATCATTTGTCTCTAGAGGGAGTTCTGCAAATAGGTTTTGGTTGTTGACAAACTAAGCAATTACAACACATGAGTATTATTTGCTGATTGGGAAACAAATGACAAATTGACTAATTTTATTTACTGCCACTGAAATATTTCAGGAAAGCTGGACTTTTCAAAGGTGCTTGACTGTGTTTAAAAGGATCAAAGTGAAAAAATTAAATCAATAATGTAGAGTAACATTTGAGACCGTTTCTCCCTTTCTGCCTAACCTTCATTAGCGGTTTCCTTAGAAGCTGCCGACAAGCAAGCACTAACAGCCTCGTACGAAGCGCTCAGTCGTGTGTTGGGGTCCCTCTTTGGTTTGGGAGGAGGCTGTTTCCTTGGTGATGGCAGGCTATTGCTATCATCCATGCTGAACACAGAGTGCAGGGAGGGAGATCTGATGGATGACCCAGCCGCAGAATGTACCAAGCCATCCACTGCCATGGGGACAGGGACAGAGCTGGAATGAAAGTGCTTAGGCGTTCGACAGCCGGCAAAGCTGTCCTCAGAGACCTTCCCACCCTTGTCTTCAGCTCTGAAAACACAGAAAAGAGGCCCAGATGCATTATTCAGGCGATAACAATGAACCTGCTCATGCAAACATAACAACAGCTTTTTGGTAAACAATCTCACAACTCCCCTGCTGTGTCGAGGGGATGTGTGTAGTAATCTTCCGACAAACAAATCCAGATCAAGCTGCTAGCTTTCTTCCATTTCCTGTTTCATGATAAATCAGGACACCGGCCCTTTTTCACACAAATGCAGCCTTCCTTAAGCAGTTTCATATTGTTGATCAGACATTCACTGAATGAATTGTTCACACTTTGATTGTTACACACAATCAAAAGCTGGGTTTTCAATCTGAATGATAATTTCTGGGAAATCCATTTAATAGAAAGTTACTGAGGCAGCAAATGCTGAGCCTTTATCATTATTTTCTGAAAAGACAACTATAAATTCTATTTAGATAATGCAAATCTTTAAAATATTAGATGACCTTTTCAACTGGCTGCTTGAAAATTCCACCCAGATATCTATGGATCTTCCTGTTTAAGCTTAATTATTAGCTATAATTTTAATAATATTAATTATGACATCATGTTTAGTTATTTAAATTGCAGTTTTGGAGTTTTACTTCTTCCAACTTTTTCCTTTTTTTTTTTTTTTTTTTTTTGCTATTACAATGTGTATTGAGAAATGACGTTTATCAGCTGCTTCCAACAAATTGATTTTTAACAAAAATTCTTGTAACATTTTATCCCTGAAAAAATCAAAACACTGAAAACCTTTTAACTTAGAGTGGTAACGTGTTAGAAAGAATATGTCTATACTTCCATTTTACAAACAAATCCCTGAGCATTTGTTTTTTTTAAAATGTATTTCTGCATGGCAAATCACCAGCAGAGCTGGAATTCATGCACAGGATATAGCCAGCTGCCCATGTAGTAAATGAAATAGCTAAAGATGAAAGCATGGTGCTCAGTGGATAATTTGTTTTCACTGTAATGTTTAATTACAGTCTTTCCTACAAAGGCATTTCCTCCAATATGTAATCACTGGGATATTTGAAGCTAATTAAGCAGATGCACTGCCATTTTCACTTTAATAAAAGTCACTGACAAAAGCAATGAAAGCAAAGGGAATTGTTCTGGATGAAAATTAAGTTCCTATGGAAAAATAAACATTTATATGTCCAGCAAGTTATAGACACATTCCTGCTATAGACACATACCTATTAACTGCAAATGCTACCTCTGCCCATTCAGCTGTCTGAGAGAAAAGAGATCAAGGACCCAGTTCCTAGAGAAAGGCTCTCCAGCATTTGCTGGTTTTGTAAAATAAATATTCCTGAAAACTCAGATAGGAGTTAAAAAAAAATCCCATATTTGCCTATTTTTAAATTATAGAAATTCTCCTCACAATCAATCTACCTAGTTCAATAAGTAATCAGGATTTCTTAGCCTGGACTTAATTGTATTTTAATGCCTTCCTAGCTACTTTCCAGTATCTTGGAAATTTCCCAACGTTGGAATTTTAACTTAGAGGAATTTTTCTTTTGTTCTTTTGGTTTGATGAAAGTTCAATTATAATCTGTTTGTTGTAGAATTAAAAAAATATTTATGTAAAAAATAAGTGCCTCAGAGACTTGAATAAGTTCCTATAAAGCTTAGTGTCCCCTAAATAGGATATTATGGTTGTCCTTAAGTTTCTAGACTTAAAAAAAAAAAAAAAAAAAAAAAAAGGTGCAACACTGATTCAGGCTCAGCATATACTTGAGAATCCTCTTGGAATTTCTCAGTCATTTCTATGACTTCCTAAGCAGAGAAGGAAATCACTAAAACTGAAGAAATACTTTATTTCTTCACAGTAGATGTTTTCTCATCTTACCTTTTGTGGCCTTCTTCAGGTCTGTTTCTAGCCTCTAACTTTTCCCTGTGATAAGCAGCATTCATCTCATTGCGGAGCCGGTCATTTTCCCGAGCAATGTCAGAAGCATTTTGAATGACCAAGGCATCATATATTTTCAATCCCATATCCTCGGCGTTCTGAAAGAAGCTTTTGATTGAGGTGACCTCTTGCTGTTTGATGCTCATCTTCTGTAGCAAGCGCTGGCGAGCTAGAAATCCTCTTACAACTACCATAACAGAAGGATAAAATATGGAGTAATGAAAGACAACTAATTAATTGATGATTACTGTGTCTTCAGCTGTAAATATGAGCGAATCAAATTCAGTCAATGTCTTATACAAAGAACAAAAGAAATGTGCTGGCATATAAAGAATACACTAAAATGGAACTCTCTGTTTTCTACTGCCAGTGCTTAAAACAAAGAATTGACAGTAAATTAATTCATAAATTTGAGCTATCACAACTCAAAAATTTACTTTCACTGAACATTATTTTTTATTACATTACAACTGAAAACTTAGATGCTACAGATTGTCAAAGCATGCATTTACATTATAAAGGTCAAAAGATCATTTGCTTCAAAATAAAACCGTGAATAAATGGTTGTGCATTCAGTGCAGTACCAATTAAATTATTGTTTGACTCTGGCCAGCTTTAAATATTTCAGTGTACCTAAAAAAAATTTAAATCATAACCGAAACAAAAGTTCTTAGTTTGACTTGAAGACCTTTTTTTGTTCATTTCCTTTCAGCAAAAACAATTAATCTAATGTAAATTTATCATATCATGTTGTGCATTTTTCAGTTTAAAATTTTCATCTGCACTGCATCAGCTTTATATTATCTATTAGGCCTATTTTTCACACTCTCTGTCAGCCTTATGTTGGGAGAAGATTTTGATGTATCTCCTGTAATAGCTTTCTGCACTACTTTCCTCAGTATGTACATTCATTACAACACGTTCTACCCAACCTAAATACGACCTAGTCCCCTGAATTTTCAGAAGTACCCAGCTGATCAGAAACACAAGGCACAGGGACCTCAGTGGCCATGATGAATTTGGTACCAATTCAATCACTCCACCTGCAACAGGCTGTATTAGCATTCTCCAAGTGTATGCTTTGGCTTTGAAGGAAGAAATAGGCTACCTAAAGATGCTTTATTTGTGTGTGGGTTTTTTTGAGTTCCACAAGATCCTGATTCTTTCCGGACCTAGAATCACTGTTGTGTACCTCACAGGGAAGAACCGGTTTTAGAATTAATCACCCGTTGCCTGAAACATTTTGATTTTCAGTACATCAACTTACATGTACCAAAACCAAATCAACCTTCATCATTGCTTATTATAGTTACTCTCATTCTGGTCACCTGAAAGCTTTTCATATGTGAAGTCAGCAGGCAACAGCCTGTATAAGATGTTTGTTCGAGTTTTGGGGAAAATACTGAAAATGTTAATATTAAGATTGTAAGATTAAAAATGCTAAAATGCATTAGGCCTTTTTAACAATGCAATTAAGTTTCAGACTTAGGAACACTGCAGAACAACATTAAATGACAAAGAGTCAAGCTGAATTAATCCAAAGGAAAAACATAAACACAGAAAGATACAACTAGTCTTCTGTGAATCTAAAATGTTATTGAATAAAATAAACAGCTAAACCAGAAGGCAACATGGGGCATTTTTCTATCACCTTCTATGTCCTTGTTTAGATATTTAAACTGAGATTTTTTTTTAGAGATGCTCAGTGCCCAGCTGATGAAATTGAAGAAAGGTTAACATTAACATACTAATACTGCTCCTATTCATTGGATTTGGAAACATTCAGGTTCAGGTACTCTGAGATTATTTATAATGGACAACTTTGAAGGTTTAAGTTTTTATAATTGAAGACAGCCATGCCATTTTCAATCCCTCTAGTTATGTTCTATAAAATCTGACTTCTTTAAACCTTGAAACATTAATGCCCTTACCCAATTTAGTTGAAAAGGAAATTAACAGTACAGTTATTTGTTGACAGTTTTATGAGAGTATTCACATTGGATATACATGTTATTGAGTCTGAATCCATAATGTTGTGGTTGGAAAGGTAACGAACGCATGCATACAACATTATCAGAGTTCACTGCTCACAAATATGAAAAATTAAAAAGAGCTTAATAATCAAAAATTGCTCCTTCACTTCTAGTATTTTCTTTAAACTTATCTGCTGCAGAGCAGTTATGGTATTTGACAAATGGTTAAGCATCAAATTCTGGATGACTTTGGAAAAAAGCCTGTTTTTTAAAGTAACATTTTTACAAGTGTGTGTGTGTACATGTGTACTTTTACCTTAACCAAGAAAAAAGGGTCAGTAACACCACTAAGGCTGATTAGAAAAATGAAATACAGAGGTCAATCCTCTGGTAGGATTGTTAGCAGTCATGAACGATGCAGAGTAACCTGCTAGGATGATCCAGTAAAACAGTATCCAGTACAGGTAGCTGTAGCATTTAGCTACTGTACAGCTACTCTGAACTACGAACTTTCATCAAAATTGAGATGTTATGAAGAATCATTCAACAAAGTTTTGTCAGGAAGGGTTGTCAGACAGACACCCCTCTTTTCTTTTGCACACTTTTTCATAAACAGAGTAACCCAGGTTTTCATTAGAAGATGGACATTTCACCACATTTCTTTCTCTGTGAGAACATTTGAAAGATTTTGTCTTCAGTTCAACACAGAACAAACCCGCAATTTCACAACCTCAAAAACTGCTGTGAAATGAAACTGTGATCTCCTAGACCTTTACTGTTCAGCATCATCAACTACTGTATGAGTACTGACTGTCTTCTGAACTTGATCCTCATTTATGTAATCTAAAATAATTCTCACTTATGCAAATTAAAATAATTGAGGTTAGCACCCAGAAGGCTGAAAAATACCTACTTCTTTACAGTTCATCTAAGGATAAGGATCAGAATAATCAAAATTAAAGTAGACCATGGATCTAAGCTATGTGAGAAATGCATAAACTACTGTGTATACAATGTATTAAAGTTAATTCCTAACCTACATGAACTGTGATGGAAGAGCTTCAGCATGATGGACTTTCCTACAGGTACAAAAAATTTTCAGAGTGATGCAGTAAAGTCAAAATTTCCTATATGAGACCAATAAGGTCTCATTACCCGTGGAAAAAATATGACAGTCACTAAACTCACAGATCCATTTTCACATAGGAAGTGTTTCTATACATGCTTTAACTTTAGTTTAACCCCCCTTTTTTTTTTTTTTTTTTTTTTTTTTTGCCTGTGTAAATTAACTTTCAGGATAACAGAAAAAGACTTATGTGGTTTGCTTTGTTTTGTTTTTCCTCAAATTTATGGGAATAATGAAAGGATTGCTAGTAAGACTGAAGTAAAAACATTTGATAAGAATTTTGTGTAAGACCTGTTTTTCCTTTGAGTTAAGTCCTTATATGGGTATATGATATTACATTTTAAGCCTGATACAGAAATTATTGACTAGTTTGGCTATTAGTTAATATGCTATCAAGAGACATTTATCTTCCAAAGTCCTTGGGATGCAAAGGATGAGGGGAGAGAAATGTGGATATGCAGCAGGATTGATACCATTACTCAGTAAGCATCACCATCCCAGTGTAAAGTCTATGGATCACAATTTTAGGATTACATAAGAACAATGTGCAGGTACCCTATCCCATTTCAAACCTGCCAGAGCTCTTTGGCATGCTAAATCTGAAAGTTTACAATTGTACCTCTTTGCAAAGGGCAGCTTATTTCATGAGCTAACATTATGAAAGGGATGTCTAGCTACTCTTATGCAAGTTCCTGATTTTCTCAGGTTTCCTAGACCATTAAAAACATGAAGATGAGACACAGCTTTGAAAAAAGCTTTGAACACATAGTTTTGGTGAAAATGACTTTTCAAGTTAGCTTAATTAAGGAGGGCTAGAAGCAAAAACAACAGACATATTTTTGTAGGATCCAGGAAGACCTATTATCTTCATTCTTCAGGCAAGGTTTGGCAGTCATCTGTTCTGCAAAACATGGACATATCTGAGGATGTTTTAAATTTTGGTGTAGGGTTATATTAAAGCACTCCGTTTCCAAATTGGACTCTGAAAGGTAAATATTTCCTTTCTTTGATACGTCAGCATGAGAACAGAAAGAGGATAAATCACTATTGCTTTTCTAAATGTGTGAATACAACAGGGTGATTTGCATTAAAAATCAGGCCCAGGTTATACATCCAGCAGAACTGTGACCTGTGTTAACTGTCACTCTCCACATTCGTTCCTGAACTGCTATTATTTTGATTTCACTTCAGGTTTTCTCTTGGTTTCCTCTTTTTCACTATATTCTCACAGTGAAGAACAAATAGTTAAAATGAAAGGGGTTTATATATTCATAACTCTGCAGTATTATGAATCTGACTAAAAAAACTCAAAGGTATTTGTCTTTTTAATTTCCTTTTAAAAAGGTGATAATGGGAATTGTTGCAGACATCAGCCAATTAGATAAGTAATACATTGTGTGAAGGATGCTTCTTCAAACAAAGTAATATTCACATTTTCAGCAGTTATTTTAGATTTTGATAGGAAATGGAACAGAAGTAACAGGAAATCAGGAGGCAGTGCACAATAACTCCTTTTTAACATGTGCCAAAAAATGTCAGTGTGACCTTAGTAAAAATGCAGGCATAAAAGGGGGAAAAAATGCCTAAACATAAAACACTAGCAGTCAAATCTGAAATCTGTAAGAAAAGGGGAAAAATAAACATAACTAAACACATTATTAGCTTTGTATTCACTGTTGATATACTTGAACACATTGCAATTTTGTATCATTGTAACCCTATTTGAGTTGCAAGAAGTTAAAGGTGATATTAATGCCTTGAAAAATCACTGAACATATTTTAAAAAGGAAATATTCAAGATTCCCTAAGTTTTAATTACAGTTAACAGTTTTTCATAAAATTATGTTTGACAGACAGAAAGCACAAGCATCACCAATGTTAATATAATCTCAAAAAAAATCTGTATAAGGAGTCAGCTGGAGATATGTATGTAGGGTAAAGTATTAAAAAAAAATATTCAGGAAGGAGATTTTTTTTTTTTGTTATGCAATATTCTGCTTGGTGTACAAAGCATCAGCTCAGGAATACTTGTTCTGTAATTGTTACCTTTTTGGCAGGTTATAATTTTCTTCTGAAGCTGAAGGCACAAATCGTTGAGATGGTCAGCTTGCCAGTACTTAAGAAACACTTTTCGGACTCCTATCTAGAATAAAAACAGCAGGGAAACCTTCACAATCAACAGAAAAGGCCAGAATGATGACAGGCAAATAATGATAGTACGTATACAATCCAGCTAAGGGTTGAGATGAGTTCTGCAATTTGAGAACAGTACAATGCGAATACTTGTACAGAGACGTAGTATCACTTGGTTGAATAAAATATGTATTTGGAAAGGATGAGCATGCTGTCAGACTCACAGTCCACCTTCAGTTCCAAAACCGTTCAGAACAAACACTACAATCTTCAGGTTAAATACAGGTTGGAAAAAAAAAAAGCACACTCTGCATGTAAGTACACAAATGTGTTAGACAACATAACAGTGTTAGGCAACATAACAGAAAATAAGGTTTGGCTTTAATAAAACAGTGGTCTGTGGGCAAGGAGAAAGGTGACAAGCCATAAACCCGTGGAGCAGAAAATGGTAACTGATAGCTGCCATCTGTGGAACAGGAAGAATTTAGCCCAAGTTGGAGGATGGGAGAAACTCAATGCCATTATGAGTGATGATTCCTAATGTCCAGTAAAATTATGAATCCTAGTTCCCAGTGTTGCATGTTGAAGTTGTGCTGCAGCTCACCTTTTAGAATCAAGTCTAAGAAGTCAGAGATGGAGCAACTAATTTGTGAAAAATAATCTAAGTATTGACTGAGTGTATGAGCTTATTCTGGTGCTGACTAGTTGCTTGGTTTAACTCATCTTGTTCTTGAGGGTCTTAACAATCACTAGATGCTCTTCCCCCTTTACAGAAAAATTTAGCTAGCTAGACCAAAAGAAAACACCTTCCTTTTGATACCTTCTGAACATGCTTAAACAATCCTTAAAAATTCTTTTCTGTATAATCTTCAAAAGCATTCCTTTCTAATAGCCTCAAAAAAAACCAGACCACACACAACCTCACTACTCTGAAACCAGTAAGTAACTAAAAAAAATGGATAAATAATGGCTTTTATTATACCATTCTCTTCTCAGGAATTCTATAGAAGAAACTTTCCTTCACTTCTTAGAAATAAAAGGACCAGTATCAGAGAACTGTGCTACCCAGGGAAGATTATAGCTTCTGTCTAGCTACTAATTTTCTATGGCTAATAGGCATACTGATTAATTAATCCAAGTCTGGCTGAAATTGCAGAAATTAATTCTAACTCTTGTTTGTCTGCAGCTTGCAAGCTCATTCTCATTGCACCATCCTGCTCCAATGTTGTATTTTGCAGTATAGATCTGAGAGACAGGTATCGGCAAGGAAATTTGCACAATTTTTCAACTAATTGTTTTTAATCCAAACACTACTGTCAGATGTACATCACTGGTAGTGATGAACTACAAAAAGCGTCAGGACATATATATCATGTCTAAACTCCATTGACAAAATTCAGAAATGACTGGGACACATTTTTGTCCTTTGGCTTCCCTTCTCTCTAGAGAAATACTATTTTGAATCAAATGTTTTAAAAAGTTTCTAATTCTGAAGTTTGAGCTGACAGACAATGATGGTGCAACTGTTAGTCTTTTAGTTAAAATCAGATGTACTCAAATGGCAAAATTAGAATGCTTTCTAAAATTTTTTTCTGTTACTATCTCTTTTCACAATAAAATAGGCTTTTTTGTGTTATTGCAAAGTGTGTGAAGGCAAGGTGATAAAAAACACATTTTACTTGTCTTGCCATTGTAGAAACTCATAAATAGGGAATAGGCTTTCTTTTCATGGTGGAAAATATCTGGAACAGCTATTTTAGAAAAATGTGCAGCTACAGAAATACTAGTTTAACTTAGCTATTCCAGAGTAGCTCCTCTATTCAGACCATCTGTTCTGGAATAATCCTTCTGCTTACAAATTTGAATTATTATTCCAGAACATTACCTTTTCCTAGATCCTGTTTCTACAATGGTAGCTACCCTGGTAAAATGATGTGTTTATATTTACTTAATAGATTATCTTGAGTGATGCCTTCCAATTTTCAACTTCATGTTCATCTGAGGCAATCTCACTGAGATTTCATTATGCTCTCATACTCTGCTCTTAGAGACATACTCTCATCCTCGCTTTCTTGACCGGTGACATACAACAAAATTTTTCACTTTTCTTTCTGTGCTTTCAAAATTGTCTCATTGCCTGGTTGTCTTAGCAGTCTGACTTCCTTATTCATCCATTTTCTCTTCTGGAATCTGCTTCTTTCCCAGGGCTTGCTAAATTTCCTTAGCAATCTTCCTTTTTGTCCCCATGTTTTTTCTTTCTTATTTCATCAAAAAGTTCTAAGAGAAACAGGTCAATCAATTTCTTCAGTTTAAATTTGCTTTTCTTTTAGACATCTAATTCTGTATCATGAACAAGCATCCCAGAAAACCATGTCAATTTTCTCCTCTCTTCCCAACAAGTATTCTATTTTTGTCCCTTCAACTTTCTTCCAGGACGCCAGAACTCCACCTTGACTCCTCCCACTACATCGATGCTGTCACTAAACCCTGCAAATTCTGTAATAACTGCTCATCAAACAACTATTTTTTTCCATCCATCTTGTCAAAACACATATTGAACTTCCCTTATTACTAGCTTTGGCTACTAAACCCTCCATCTTCTTGTTCACACCACCTTAAATCCAGAATTCTTCTATGAGAATTACTGAATTATTATTCATATGGTTAACTGTAATTAAATTATCATGTAGTTATTATAATTATCATTTGTATCTGAGTAGCTCTCAGACAACCAAAGCCTGGATACAAATACTTAATAAAATCATATTATTCTACTCTGATTACATTTTCTCTTTATGCTCCACTGTTCCTTACCACAAACCCTCTGTATCACATTGCAGACTTTTTTTCCCTCTCTGTCTCAGGCCTATGTCAAATCATTCACCTTTTTCCCAATTTCTCTCTCTTTCCCTCCATTCCTCAAAATGCATGTTTCTTCCCTTACTTCCTCACTGGATGTCTCTAAAATATTCCTCTGTGCTAGAGCAACATTATGTCTCTGACAGTAGAAAAGGGATGAAAAGTTATGTTTTAATAGCTTAAAAAAGCCCTGATTACTAGCAATGCCCACGGCAAAATTAACAACCATGTTCTTGATTAGTTTCATAATTACACACTGGTCACACCTGGGCTATATTTCAAATGTATAACTTAACTAAACATTGAGTTGCAATTTATTTTGCAGAGTGAAGTCACAAAATCACAGTCAAGACAATTGCTCAATCTTACGGTCAGTTTAGCTATAAATGTCTGGCATTGTAGCTTTGTGAAAAGCTAGCAAGGGGACATGCAAAGTATTAGTGCTCTTTTCTCCCATCCGACACCCTAGAAACAATATAAATGGAGTTATTGTGGCATCACTTATGCTGTGAACTTCATTAGTAGAAGCCCGCTACAATTTTTAAGTGAATGAAGAAATACGAAATGTCAATACATACTCATTTTTACATTTGGATAAAAGCTATTTATAGATTTTACATCATATGCCAGGTCTATTGAGAACAGAGCTCTAGACAGAAGCATGTATGGAAGAAAATGCTATAACACATTTGATTATGTTAGTATGGCTGGAGATCTGTGTTGCTCATCTTTGAACTAAATCTGATACCCTCTAAAGCTAACTGAGAACATGTTCGTGTCACTGCTCTCTGCACAGTTTTGGTGTTCAGTGAAAGCAATAATGCTGAAAAATGTTGGAATTCCATATGCCAGATATCAAAATAGTTTTTGAGGCTGCCACGTGTCTTTATTCTGGTCTTTTCTCTAATCACAAAACGTTTCCTGCTTGCCAAGGGAAAAAAAAGGTTAAAATGTTCTTCCACTGAAGCACCCACTTTTCAATACTTTCTGGACTACAAAGTGCTATCATCTGAGTCTGAAATTTTAATGTCATTCAGACTCCTGTAAAAGTAAACCATCTGTGAATTACAGTCATAGTTATTTTAATTAGAAAAGCATTAGGGTTTTAAATGTTATTTTTCAAAATGACACATTTTTTAAAGATTAAGTAAAATTGTCATTGATGACTACCAAAGCTTCAATTACTGCTACAGGCCTCCTTTTTTTTTTTTTTTTTTTTTTTTTTTTTTTTTACAGAAAAGGTGTAGGATGTAGAAGTACAGACATTCAAAACTATGGAATGGATGCTGAGATGGTGTGTAGGTGGCATGGAGGCAGTATTAGCTCATACTTAATAGGTGTCAAGGGAATCTGTAAAGCTGTTCTTTAGTTTAAAAAAGGCAATTTGTGGGAGTGCTGTGTGTTTCTGGCAGTACTTTCAAAATAGCTACCTACAAAAGACAGAGAACTATAATCTAATGATATTTTACACAATGACACACATTTTCACAGTGCATTAATGAAATGTAGAAAAAAGGCTTAAAACTATTGTAAAATGTGTCTTTTTGCAGTGTACATGTCTGCAAAAATATTATAATGACAAACACATTTACAGGGTACTGATCTTTTACAAGGACTGAAATGTTATTTTTAAAGGCTTACTCTCTCTACTTTGTTTGTTAGCTTTTTTTCACACATTTTTGAGAGCCCTCCTTTGTCTTTGGCAAACTAGTGACCTTGCACGATGTTTAGATACTGAATAAACCTACACTTTAGCATAGATTATATATGGCCTTAATATTAAGTATGTGAATAGTCCAGTATTCACACAAGTGACATTAAGTATTTATGTAAGCGCTTGTCAGGAGTTGGACTTTAGGGAGAAAAACTGTCATTCAGCTCTCTGGGAAAGGTCAGAAAAATGGTCATTCCTTTTCCAAAAACTGTATAAACCTCAGAGCTCTTTGCACTTGTGAGGTAACAAAAAGGACTGCCTTACAGAAAAGGAAGTGATTGGAAAATAGAAGATGCATGTAAGAAATAATCAGTGGAGGAAACCCTACCCTAGTTTTATCTCATGGGATCTCTGTACTTACTGGACCTATCATTCTAGTCTTTCAAAATTCTAGAAATAGACATAGCACCAAAAGAAACAATATGAAAGTGTCTCTG